TATTTTCAATAAGCAATCCTGAAAAATATTTGGGGTGCTTAACTTTTTTCCAGGTGTATATATAGCCAAGAAACTGCACTGCTGCATGCATGATTTTAATTTAAGGCTTGTATCATTAATGAACTCGAATACTATTCTCAGTTTCTTAACTATGGTTTTGTATGTGTAGATCTCTGTGTAAGTGTTCCATCAACTACTCAAAGTTACATAGACATTACACCTATCAAATGACACAAGATGGAATTCACACATCTTCTCAGGTGCTTCAAGCAGTCTCAGATCTATTTTCATCAACCAGCTCCACTTACTGGCAACCAGGCTAGGTCTAAAGTACTGAATGGATGGGCACTTTCCAATGCATCCAGACATTCATCTATGCATAGTAAAGGAAGGGTAGTGGTTCACATTACCTAGTTCATCTATCTAAAGTCCACAAAGAACTTTAGCATTCCTTTCTTTTAGATAATCATCACTGAAATGATGACGCACTCTTCAAAGGCTATATTACTTGACGTTATAAGGTAACCTGTTAGGTGGTAGTTTTATTGTAATGTGTAATGACATGTGATTGTTGTTTGACACAAACATATCAGCAAACTCCTTCAGGTTATTTGCACAGCTTTCAACTAAACTTCAGTTGTTCTGGAAGCTGGCATTCATTCTAAGATACAGTATAGTAGCTGCAAAACCAGTAATGCAAATAGTCTGTATCACTTCTGTTTCTGTTACCTTGCAACTTACCATTTCAGCTGGAAGCCCATAGTTACAGACCAGCACTGGCACAACTCCTACACTCACACATATTACTGTTCAAGCTAAGTACATCCTGCTTTCCCTACTGAAAACAGTGTGCTTCATGTATCTGCTCTATACCCATAGTAGAAGATGACAATGCACTAGACCGCATCCATAGTACCCACAGAATATCACTTACCCATTAGGGAAATCACCATACCCTTTTCAACATACATGCATGCAGCCCACTGTTCTCAAGCTCTATCTCGTGGATACTGGAGGTTTTATTGCCACAGTTGAAGCAGATAATCCTTTTCCCACACTTATGGTGCTTTTGAGAATATTACAATGCTGTAGGTAGAATACTTGGGCCAAGGAAACCCTGCTTACCCATTGGACACCATGGTTGTTGTACCATGCTGCCTTGCAGCACTTGCTCTATTAGTGATAGGTTGATGCATCTTTTACCCTTTCAGGAAGTTACATATTCTGGATACTTTTTTAAGGTCCACAACTGTTGGCTTCTTCTTTTGCACCAGTGTATGACTAGATGTGACCACCTCAAGCTGTGTTTACAATGAAACCACCTCTATGAGAGATAAAACTTCCCTTAGCCCTATATGGTGCTACATAGGTTCTATCAGTAACCATTCAACAAGATTGTCAATTAAATGACAAAAAATAAGTATGTTGATGAGTAATTAATGATTTTGGTTAGTATATTTGGCATATGAAAATACAACCATTTATTGCTCCCCAACTCCCAGTGACTTAATTACAGTATTTTGGCACTTGTGTATAAAGTTAAAATCATAAATAATATTCAACGTTAAACTGGTACACAATTAAAATCATTTTATGAAGACCATAGATAGGCCTAAATAAAATGATTTTAATTGTGTACCAGTTTAACGTTGAATATTATTTATGATTTT